TCTGCGCCCTGTTCCCGCGTTACGAAATCTAAGAGGATATCCTACAGTGGGGGCGGGGCCCCCTAAGTTCCAGGGCTCCCCCGCACCGCGGGGGGTGCGGGGGCCTCCGCTACGCCACTGGTGTAAATGTAATAAGGTTAAATCTTAACTAGATACAAGACACATTCTAATGTATTTTCTAATGGGGTCTGAGTCGTGCTATAAAGGTGTTTTTGCATGTGGATTCTCCATTCTTTGCAGTGGTTCACTGTTGCTACTAGTAAGCACAGAAAATCTGGACTTCAAATGTAAGGAAAGATCTGCAATATTTAAACTGCTTCATACTCAGACGTACACACCAGTAGAAACATGTGTACTAATAAAAGTGTGTGTGTCTCATTCCTCTGCAGCTACCTGGGTTGGAGGTGGATTTATCCTCGGTTTGGCTGAGGCTGTGTACTCTCCTAAAATGGGCTTAATATGGGCTCTTATGCCTCTACAATACTCAGTGTCCTTCATTTTAGGTAAGGTAATAGCAGAAGGCGGCTGATCTTGATAACTTCAGATATAATCTTTGTGTTTTTCTGTCTCTTATTTCATCTGTTTTATTGAGATTTTATTAAACAGTAAATGTACTACAAAGCTTGGTGTTCTGGATTCAAGCAGCTTACATACACAGTGCCCACAACATTAAATAATTAAGGTCGGAATGCAATATAATGCTTAAAATCTCATCCCCTGCAATAGGTGGTATTTTCTTTGCAAAGCCAATGAGGGATAAGGAGTATGTCACCATGATGGACCCTTTCCAGATAAAGTATGGCAAAGTTCTCAGCACTGCTCTGGTGCTGCCGGCGCTGCTGGTGGATGTGCTGTGGGTGTCCTGCACTCTGCTTAGCTTAGGTAAACATACATACAAACCATGTAAAACAACACTAGTAATGGATTAAATGTATTGCATTACGTTTTGTGTGTCTGTGGATTCTCTAACAGGAGCAACTATGACTGTGATACTGGACCTGCCCTACGCCTATTCTGTTTGGATCTCATCATCTGTGGCCATCATCTACACTTTGTTAGGAGGACTTTATTCAGTGGCCTACACTGATGTCATCCAACTCTGTCTCATTTTCTTTGGTTTGGTGAGTTACAAGCATCTTACATTACCACGTTTATTTTTAAAGAAGTTCATATCTTCAAGATTGTGTATTTACATCTTGTTTTAAAGCTCCACCATCCAACAAGCATTCAACCTACAACATCTTGATAAATCAATAAATCATTTTATTTTTGTAAATCACTGTATCGTCATAACATTTCAAGTCAAATATATTGTTCTTTATTCAGTTTTGTTTCTCCATAATAAATCCTCAAAATAGTTATTGCATTTAACCTGTTTTTTGTTTACACATTTTATTTAAAATGTTGCTTCTGAAGGCCAATAACACATTTATTTCCAGAATTGTTGTGTTTTTTTTTAACAATGAATCCAGCTGTAATACTAAGAACATTTGGTAAGATGTCATGTAAATGGATAAATTAGGGCTGAGTGAGGTGTGTGTGTTGGAGCGATAGTCAGTGTATCACCTACAGTAGATGGTGGTTGTTGCAGGCCCCCAGTTTGGAGAATATAAATAATTTACTGCACAACATTTAAATAATGCAATGCTGCGGAAATAACTTAACTAACTGTACATTTTATTTATAATATTTTAAATGCTCACCTTGCTTGAGAAAATGTAAACCACAAAAGCCCTCCAAATGATCCCAATCTTAGGTTTGTACAAACAAAATGAAATGGAGCTCTCAAACCTACTCTTTTTTAGATGTTATTTAGCTGACCCATCTGTTCAAAGCAACTTACATACACTTTAATGCCGTAGACATGCCTACAGGAGCAATTTGGGGTAGGGTAGCCTGCCCAAGGACACTTCAACATGATGACTGCAGGGGCTGGGATCAAACCACTGGCCCCCTGATGTGCAAATTAGTGCACTAACCGCCCTCTTGTTTTTCCATTTAAAAAATTGGCAGGAAATCATTAAAACAAATCTGAAGCTGCAGAACTTGTTTTTGGATTGATTTGAACAGACGTTTGGTTGAATGTGAGGTCCTATTTGTTTTTAACATCTGACAAAAATAATTATTGCGCTTTGGTCTTCAGTCTGATTATCTCAATATCTGTTTGCAGTGGTTGTGTGTCCCCTTCCTGCTGCTCAACCCGTCATCTACTAACATTGCCCAGACTGCTTTCAATCACACGCTCCACGAACCCTGGGTCGGCACTCTGCGGCAGGACCAAGTCTGGAAGTGGATTGATGACTTCTTAATGATCGTAAGCTAAATATTCACCAGTGTGCATCAGCCTGACCTCCTACAAAAAAAGACCATATAGGCCGATTGTTCATGCCCTTATTACGACCCAGAGACACGTTTTAAAATGTATGTTGTTTCTTACACAACCACTAGAGGTGCTCTAGTGGTCGTGTAAGAAACAACATGCTCCCTGGTCCGTTCATTGCAAACGCTCCAGAGGGACGTTTATCCACAAATAACCCTAAAAAAATTCTAAATTGTGGATCAGTTTGGCCATTAAAATGCTTTTTGATTCGATTTCTGGCGAGAAGTGTATATTTAGGCTACTCTTAGAATCCACGTCCAGTTGATGTGTAGGATCTATAGTTTGATAGATATTACGAAGATGATTTGAGGTCTCGCCAAGATAACGTGTATGCAGCTTCCATGTAAAGTTAGCGTGGGTGAAAAAAGTTTTTCCGGTCTCGAAGTTTTCATAATAAAACCTGATATATTCCCCTCACTGTCAAATGATTACACAGTGATATCTTACTCATCCACTAAAAAACATCAGTTTATCCTTGTTAATTACACAATATTGATTGGTTTAAATTGTGTACAATGCTTTTGTTTTTTTAACCTTCGATTCAGAGAAACAAATAGTTTTTTCGGAGTTAAGACACTACAGTTTCCGAAGATACTACACTACCCAGAATCCCCAGCTATTGTTTGGGACTGCAACATCCGCCTTGCTTTACAAACCCATTGATTAGTCATCAAGCTCTTTGATTGGATGTTGGAGTGGCAGTGCGACAAGGTTACGCTGAGCGTCAACAGCTCCTTGAAATGGAATGGAACCACGGCAGACTTTTCCAAAACTAGAATTGGACGGGTTGGGGGAGGGGGTCTGCAGTTCGGTGGACTAAGTAGACCCTCCAGAAAAACGCGGGCAAAAATCCTTGATTATGCGGGCTAAATTCCTTGATTATGC